TTGATGAGGAAATAAATGCAGTACATATTATGACGTGGAGGGCCATCATTCAGCAGTCCCTTTCACATATCTGCCTCACACTGTCAGTCAGGGTCATCTAGTCACTGTCTGTCTCTCTACCTCTCCCAGCGTGGAACATAATGAAGAGTGCTGGGTGAAGTTAAACCTGCTGAGGAAGGATAACTGTTTTTCACTTTTGAGCTGTCATGTCAAAGGCCACACGCACACACATACAAACGTTGTGTTCTAGCTGACTACCTATTATGTTCTTCTGGTGTTCATCTTCTTACATTTTAGTCATTTAGCAGACGCTATTATCCAGAGCGACTTACAGGAGCAATTAGGTTTAAGTGCCTTGCTCAAGGTCACAGACAGATTTTCCACCTAGTTGGCTTGGGAATTCGAACCAGCAACCTTTCGGTTACTGGCCCAACGCTCTTAACCATTAGACTACTTGCCGACTTCTTGTCTGGAGATACCTGTAAGCTTACATTGGACCCAAACACAGCACACAGGAAACTCTGTCTGAACAGAACAGATCTGTGAAGGGGGTTAGTGAGCAGCCATATCCGGAGGATCCAGAGAGATTTTTGGACTGCCCAATTGTGCTGTGTAAAGAGGGACTGACAGGGCGCTGTTATTGGGAGGCATAGTGGAGTGGCTTTGAGGTTAAAATCTGGATGACATACAAAGGAATCAGGAGGAGTGGAGACGATGGGGGCATTGGACTAGGACAAAATAACAAGTCATGGTGTATAGTTCCTCATAGCACAATGTACACTTTTAATTATGATAACTTAAATATATCGTTCCCCTTCAGAAATGTCTGAGCAGTTTACGGAAAATGCAGAGTAGGAGTGTATCTGGACTCGCCGGCACACTGACCCACCTGTATACATTCCACTCCACATTCTCTGAGCCCCACTACCCAGCATTTCAGATCAGTCTAAACTCAGAATTAATGCTCAGTGATCTTGACTCCATATTGATATTATAAGACAACAGTGTTGGCACCGTGGTACCCAAACTTTTCTTCAAGAATACTCTGTGAGGAAAAGCAGTGGGGCTGTGGATTCAATGTTGCTGGTTGTGGCTGAAGATTGGACTTTGTAACAATATTGATTGATGACTGAACTTTGCAATGGAGTTTGTAACTGTCAAATTTGTGTTTTTCATACCCCTCCCCTACCTTTGTTAATCATTTTAAATAAATGCTTGAAAGGAATTTCGGTAACACTTCATTTTAAGGGGTCCTTTTTAGTGTAATTACATTTCTAATTACACTAACAAGTATTGTAGTTAATTGTAAAAACTCATAGTTACACTGTAATAACATAACTGGTGGTAATTGCAGTCTGTAATTACAGAGGTGTAACAACAAATGCTTGTTACCATGCTTGTTACAAATGGGCAAGTTTCCACTAAATTCCAAATGTAGTGTTTAGTTTCTTCTCAGTTGCATCCAATTCCATTATAACTGTCACAAGGTTGTAATCTCTTGTGGGCAGATGCGCTGCGTGTCTGAGATGATAAAGGTTGAAGGCTTAACAGGCTTTAATCACCTACCCGTGAATGGGCACTCTTCAAAATCTCTACTCAATGTTGTTGCTAGCACTTTCCCCCAAAAAGAGTACCATCTGGGTTAACTTGGTTGCGTTTCCAAAAACAGATCAGATATATTGTAGGTCAACTTCACTGACTGGGGTCTACCATATGGGTGTCATCCCAGATTATAATAAAAGAAGAACATGTACATTACCCATTATGATAACCCGAACCTCCTTGCCATCCAGAGAGGATAAACCCAGAAGTACACCATGCACAACGGGGGTGATTTACAATTACACCTTAACACAGGAACCAGGTTCACCCTTCCTGTCTTTGAGGGGTTTACCAGAGCTGGAATGCCCCTTTCTTTACAACACTGAGGAGATCAGGAGATAAACACCTTGCGATCTACCTGAGTTACTACATGAGGGGGGGTTATCAGAGACTTTGGCGCCAGAGCTCTGTTCCAAGAAAGAAAGATGAGACTTTTTCTTCCCAACATAACATAAAACGTGTGTAAAGGAACCCGGATCATGTTTGTACTCTACAGGCTACGTATTTCATGTTAAATATTGTGAAACATTATGTGAACACTTATGAGGAAATCTCAGGTTTATCTCATATGAACATTAAATGTGTTGAGTTCTTAGGACCAACGGGGCATTCCCGTGCCACACTGTCCGGCCATTAGAGCCTGCCTTCTGTGAGTCTCCCTATACATTTTAGGACTTACTAAACAGAAATCAGATCAAGTTCCGCAAGGCTAGGGCACGCCCATTGGACAAATGATCCCATCTCCTTGGAAACCAAAACGCCGAATGAGGAAGCCTTATCCTACTCAGAGACAGAAGAATCACCCGAGAGGACCCTGCGGAGCGCACTATTGCTCATTCAAGACTGACGGACTGAGTTCGCAATACATCCCGGGGATCAGAGAAAGAATGAAATCATCTATAATATACTTTACTTTCCTGGACTGATAATTAAGAACCAAGAGAGGAAGACATGGGTATCACTCCTTCCGCTGTGAGCTATTTTCAGCCCGCTGTTACATTTCCTGTCACATTGCTCCTATTCTATGAAAGTAGCATTGTGTGTGTAAAGCAGGTCTAATTTACCTACTAATGATCAATACTGTTTCTGCATTGTCCGCATTCGGATGCGAACAAAGGAATGTTTTCCTAGAAATCAAATAGGGAGCGCCCACTAAAGGTGTTGACCCTCCACATCTCTCAAGACTGCTGGAGCACTGGGCTAGCCACTCTTAAATAGCACCTGGGCCATCACAGGTGAAACACCTTCCCACTAATGAGATGGCAACCAGCACAGGTGTAACACATACTGACTAACGAGGTGACACCAATCGGTGTGCCCTACGTGATAACGAGCTATACGTGCTAAAGTCCAACCTCAAAACATAAATGGAAAAACCAACGCCTGTAACAATCATCATTATATAGTTTAGGCTTGTTGAGTTATTCAGCTAGCAATAATAGTGCTTGCTAACACTAATAAGTTAGCTAGTGTTTAGCTACATTGAAAAGGAACTAATGTTACTTGTAGTGTGTTGACACAAGTAGCTAGCTAGCTAACGTTAACACATGCTGGGTGTGTTTCACGTAATACCCTTGGGAAACAGATACCCTGAGAATAAGGTTCAGGGAAGATAAGACCATCGAACCCAGCTAACGTTAGCTAGCTAGCTAGTCAGCCAGCTCTCGAAAACTCTAAGTGGCATTCTGCCATCTCCCTACAGTTCTCAGCCATTAGCTTCGCCCACGACTGCCTCATGTGAACTACAATCCCGACGCTGTGTTTTAACATTTAGAAACGTTAATAATCATCACTTTCGATACAGCTTTCGAAACATATGTCCCTTATCTTCATCAGCAAGAAATAATCACTCAAATAAAAAAATACACTTACAGTAGTAGTTTTACACAGATCCATACAGCTATGGGTGCCTCCATCCGACGAAACTACATTTCTGCTACACAGGTGTTCGGCGCATGCTAGCTAGCTAGCCAGCTAATAGGCTCTATGCCAAACGATTTTCCAGGTTTGACTGAACAATACCCCTCATTGTCTGTTTAGGTGGAAGTGCTGTATTACCTACAGGAGCGATGGCATCTCAAACAATTTTCACACGTTGTTTGCTAGAACTTCCTAGGAAAACTTAACGGTGTGCACAGGATCACCAGGTAATCTACAAGTGCGCCTAAAAGTAAACTGGAGAAGGGATTCAAGTTTTATGTGTCTTCCTACCTGTGCGAAGATGAAGGTATGCACAGTAGCTAGAGCTATCTAGCTATGTGTTGTAGTTGTTATAGCTAATGTTAGCTAATCTGCTGGTTAAAAGGATACTTTGGGATTTTGTCAATGAAGCCCTTTATCTACTTCCCCAGTCAGATGAACTCGTGGATACCATTTTTATGTCTCTGTGTCCAGTATGAATAAAGTTAGAGGTAGCTTTGCAAGCCAATTCTAACTAGTGTTAGCGCAATGACTGATAGCATGATAGCGGTTAATATAGACTTCCAGTCATTGCACTAACGCCAGTTAGCCATTGCACTAATGCCAGTTAGCAACTGCGCTAACGTTAGCAACTTCCTTCAAACTGCATCCATGTAGCCAGTCACATGAACTACTGATCTACATAACATACACTACCAGTCAAAAGGTTGGGACACACCTACTCATTCCAGGGTTTTTCTTTATTTGTACTATTTTTTACATTGTAGAATAATAGTCAAGACATCAGAACTATGAAATAACACATATGGAATAATGTAGTAACCCAAAAAAGTGTTAAACAAATCAAAATATGTTATATTTGAGATTCTTCAAAAAGCCACCCTTTGCCTTGATGACAGCTTTGCACACACTTGGCATTCTTTCAACCAGCTTCATGAGGTAGTCACCTGGAATGCATTTCAATTAACAGGTGTGCCTTCTTAAAAGTTAATTTGTGGAATTTCTTTCCTTCTTAATGCGTTTGAGACAATCAGTTGTGTTGCGACAAGGTGTGTGTGGGGGGGGTATACAGAAGATAGCCCTATTTGGTAAAAGACCAAGTCCATATTATGGCAAGAACAGCTCAAATAAGCAAAGAGAAAAGACAGTCCATACGGAACATTTCAAGAACTTTGAACGTTTCTTCAAGTGCAGTCGCACAAACCATCAAGCGCTATGATGAAACTGGCTCTCATGAGGACCACCACAGGAATGGAAGACCCAGAGTTACCTCTGTTGCAGAGGATAAGTTAATTAGAGTTACCCGCCTCAGAAATTGCAGCCCAAATAAATGCTTCACAGAGTTCAAGTAACAGACACACCTCAACATCAACTGTTCAGTTCCTGTGTATCCTTACCTTTTTCATCTGTATTACAAAACTGCAATAATGACGTATACAAAGTGTAAAAATCGTTATGTTTTGTTATGTCCATTTTAGATGACTCTACGAGATTCAGATCAAGTTGTGCTGGTCAGCAGCCGCTGCTCCTGTGTCGCTGGCACTGGTATGTGCAACCATCTGGTTGCACTTCTATATCAGACAGCTCATTACTCAGAGTGCAGTATGCCTGTGGTCCCTCCGGTTCTGACTTGCACAGAGACTGAACAGAGATGGCATGAACCCAGAACAATAGTTAGTATTTAGCCTGCCTTTGTGATTAATATAATATTTGATTGCAACTGGTTGTTTACTAACAGCTTGTAATACTGCATATAGGGGGTGAAGCCAGGACCTGTGTATGACATGGTTGTGCTGAAACCCAAAATAGATGGGACCTCCAAAATTGGCATTAGGTATGCAAAAGGAGTTCAACCTCCAATTGGAAGGGTAGACCAAGTTTAAATAACCTATGATGTGTCGTGTGTGTGTTTCGTGATGCAATGGGTGTGCAGATATTCATGTGACCCATCTGTAATATCCTTGTGGTGCCAGAAACCCACAGATAGATGATACATTCATGGTCTAACAATATAGAAAGTTACATTTACATACAGCTGAAGTCGGAAGTTTAAATGTAGTTGGCTAAGGTGTATGTAAACTCAGTTTTTCACAATTCCTGACATTTAATCCTAGTAAAAATGCCCTGTCTTAAGTCAGTTAGGATCACCACTTTATTTTAAGAATGTGAAATGTCAGAATAATAGTAGAGAGAATTATTTATTTCAGATTTTATTTATTTCATCACATTCCCAGTGGGTGAAAAGTTTACATACACTCAATTAGTATTTGGTAGCATTGCCTTTAAATTGTTTAACTTGGGTCAAACGTTTCAGGTAGCCTTCCACAAGCTTCCCACAATAAGTTGGATGAATGTTGGCCCATTCCTCCTGACAGAGCTGGTGTAACTGAGTCAGGTTTGTAGGCCTCCTTGCTCGCACACGCTTTTTCAGATCTGCCCACAAATTTTCTATAGGATTGAGGTCAGGGCTTTGTGATGGCCACTCCAATACCTCGACTTTGTTGTCCTTAAGCCATTTTGCCACAACTTTGGAAGTATGCTTGGGGTCATTGTCCATTTGGAAGACCAGTTTGCGACCAAGCTTTAACTTCCTGACTGATGTTGTCACGATCGTCCAACAGAGATGAGGACCAAGGCGCAGCGTTGCAGGCAAACATACTCTTTATATAGCGTCAAATGACCAAAACAACAAAACGATATCGTGACAGTTCACGGTCTAACACAAACCGACTGGAAACAAAATCCCACAAACACGAATGAAAAACAGACTGTATAAATATGGCTCCCAATCAGAGACAGCCAGCAACACCTGACACTCGTTGCCTCTGATTGGGAGCCACTCTGGCCAACATAGAAATAGCACCCATAGAAACAAAACACATTGATCTACACACCCTGGCTCAACATAACAGCGTCCCCAGAGCCAGGGCGTGACAGTACCCCCCCCTAAAGGCGCGGACTCCGACCGCGTCAACCAAATACCACAGGGGAGGGACCGGGTGGGCACTCCGCCTAGGCGGCGGATCCGGCTCCGGGCCTGATCCCCGCTCCCTCTCCAACCCCCCAAAGTACCCCTGGTCCGGTCTGACCCCGCTGGCCGGAGCTGGACTGCACACTGATGGAGCGGATTGCTCTAGCCCCGGCGTAAAACATCTGACCAGTGCCGAACCAGGCACCAGTGGAACAGGCACGGGCCGTGCCGGACTGACGACGCCCACCACTGGCTTGGTGTGGAGAACAGGCACGGGCCGTGCTGGACTGACAACGCACACCACTGGCTTGGTGTGAGGAGCAGGAGTGAGCCGAACCGGGCCGACGAAACGCACCACTGACTTGGAGCGGGGAGCAGGAACGGGCCGAGCCGGGCTGACGAAGCGCACCACTGACTTGGTGCGGGGAGCAGGAACGGGCCGAGCCGGGCTGACGAAGCGCACCACTGACTTGGTGCGGGGAGCAGGAACGGGCCGAGCCGGGCTGACGAAGCGCACCACTGACTTGGTGCGGGGAGCAGGAACGGGCCGAGCCGGGCTGACGAAGCGCACCACTGACTTGGTGCGGGGAGCAGGAACGGGCCGAGCCGGGCTGACGAAGCGCACCACTGACTTGGTGCGGGGAGCAGGAACGGGCCGAGCCGGGCTGACGAAGCGCACCACTGACTTGGTGCGGGGAGCAGGAACGGGCCGAGCCGGGCTGACGAAGCGCACCACTGACTTGGTGCGGGGAGCAGGAACGGGCCGAGCCGGGCTGACGAAGCGCACCACTGACTTGGTGCGGGAAGCAGGAACGGGCCGAGCCGGGCTGACGAAGCGCACCACTGACTTGGTGCGGGGAGCAGGAACGGGCCGAGCCGGGCTGACGAAGCGCACCACTGACTTGGTGCGAGGAGCAGGAACAGACCGGACCGTACTGGGGACACACACCACTGGCCCTACACCGGGATCTGGAACGGGCCGGACCGGACTGGTAACACACCCCAGTACCTCTCGCCGTGCCTCTACACCTTCCATCCCCTCTTCGACCAGTGGCCCCCGTAACCTGGCGGCCTCCTCTGCCAACCCGCTGGACCGCTCTATCGCGGCCTCCTGTTGCCCCGACGTCGTGAGCCCCCCCCTAAAAAATTTCTGGGGGTCTCTCCTCCCCGTGGGCCAGGCCTCTATAGTTCTCGCCCAACTCTCGCTCTTCTGCTTCCAACTCCCGCCATTCAGCTCCTCAATTGGCTTGACCCAGTCTAAGCTCTTCCTCCACTGTTCCCAAGTCCACCCTCTCTGCTCCTCACTAGGCTTGACCCAGTCGAGGTTGCCACGGAGATCTGCCAGCGATTCCCCTGGCGATGGCTCCTGGACACGCTGCTTGGTCCAGTTTTGGTGGGATTTTCTGTCACGATCGTCCAACAGAGATGAGGACCAAGGCGCAGCGTTGCAGGCAAACATACTCTTTATTTAGCGTCAAATGACCAAAACAACAAAACGATATCGTGACAGTTCACGGTCTAACACAAACCGACTGGAAACAAAATCCCACAAACACGAATGAAAAACAGACTGTATAAATATGGCTCCCAATCAGAGACAGCCAGCAACACCTGACACTCGTTGCCTCTGATTGGGAGCCACTCTGGCCAACATAGAAATAGCACCCATAGAAACAAAACACATTGATCTACACACCCTGGCTCAACATAACAGCGTCCCCAGAGCCAGGGCGTGACAGATGTCTTGAGTCTTGAGCTGTTGCTTCAATATATCCACATAATTTTCCTTCCTCATGATACCATCTATTTTGTGAAGTGCACCAGTCCCTCTTGCAGCAAAGCACCCCCACAGCATGATGCTGCCACCCCCATGCTTCACGGTTGGGATGGTGTTCTTCGGCTTGCAAGCAACCCCCTTTTTCCTCCAAACATAACGATGGTCATCATGGCCAAACAGTTCTATTTTTGTTTCATCAGACCAGAGGACATTTCTACAAAAAGTATGATCTTTGTCCCCATGTGCAGTTGCAAACCGTAGTCTGGCTTTTTTATAATAATAATATGCCATTTAGCAGACGCTTTTATCCAAAGCGACTTACAGTCATGCGTGCATACATTTATTTATTTATTTTTTGTGTATGGGTGGTCCCGGGGATTGAACCCACTACCTTGGCGTTACAAGCGCCGTGCTCTACCAGCAGAGCTACAGAGGACCACATGGCGGTTTTGGAGCAGTGGCTTCTTCCTTGCTGAGCGGCCTTTCAGGTTATGTCGATATAGGACTCGTTTTACTGTGGATATAGATACTTTTGTATCTGTTTCCTCCAGCATCTTCACAAGGTCCTTTGCTGTTGTTCTGGGATTGATTTGCACTTTTCGCACCAGAGTACGTTCATCTCTAGGAGACAGAACGGTATGACGGCTGCGTGGTCCCATGGTGTTTATACTTGCGTACTATTGTTTGTACAGATGAACGTGGTACCTTCAGGTGTTTGGAAATTGCTCCCAAGGATGAACCAGACTTGTGGAGGTCTACAAAAATAAATGATGAGGTCTTGGCTGATTTCTTTTGATTTTCCCATGATATCAAGCAAAGAGGCACTGAGTTTGAAGGTAGGCCTTGAAATACATCCACAGGTACACCTCCAATTGACTCAAATGATGTCAATTAGCCTCTCAGAAGCTTCTAAAGCCATTACATAATTTTCTGGAATTTTCCAAGCTATTTAAAAGGCACAGTCAACTTAGTGTATGTAAACTTCTGACCCACTGGAATTGTGATACAGTGAATTATAAGTGAAATAATCTGTCTGTAAACAATTGTTGGAAAAATTACTTGTGTCATGCACAAAGTAGATGTCCTAACTGACTTGCCAAAACTATAGTTTGTTAACAAGAAATGTGTGGAGTGGTTGAAAAAACGAGTTTTAATGACTCCAACCTAAGTGTATGTAAACTTCCGACTTCAACTGTAACTGCACAGCGATGAATGCATCATACGTAGGGCATTCATGGATATGCTTTTTGTACTCTCTGCTCTCCCTATACTTTGTCATTACACTAATATAGCAATATGCCTAGCAGGTTTTGTGCATACAATTTGACTTTTTAGATCTGAACTGTACAAAGGTGAGCCTCCGGACCCCTCATCCCTTGCCATTGAAGCTGCCTATGCCAACTTCACCCCAGACTTAGCTCCATTAATCAGCACCATGGGCATTTCTACAGGGAAACCGCTAGTAGACTCCATCCTTGGGAAAGTATAGGCTGGCCGCGTTCTCTCTTATCAGCACATGCTGTGTCTGATACCATTAACATTCCCGGACGTGCCACTATAGGGCTACCAATAAAGTGCCACAGACTGTGCATGTGTTAACCAATCACAGTCACATGAGATTGAAAGAGCCACAAGAAGTCAGTGAAATGCCCGAGTGGCATTCCTAAAGGGAAAGAGAGAGTGACTGCTTCTACTTTTAGAGAAGTCAGTCATGTGAGAGGACAAAGTACAGCAGAAAACTTAGCTGAGAGGATCATTAAAGGGACATGTCAAACGGCATACATGGACTGGAAATGGAGACAGAGTTGTTGAGGGACTATACAACTATGAAAAACCTGAACTATAGGAAGTGTAGACTGGTTATCCACCCAGATGCACGATGGCTAGGTGCATCTCTTGATGTATGTATGTGGTGTATGACCCACTTGAGAGACCTTCATTCGTGCTTGTAGAAGCCAAAAAAAATTATCAGGCAGCATAATAAATGGATTAATCAAATTGTATTTGTCACATGCGCCGAATACAACAGGTGTAGTAGACCTTACAGTGAAATGCTTACTTACAAGCCCTTAACCAACAATGCAGTTAAGAAAAATAAGTGTTAAGTAAAAAATAGATAAGTAAAAAGAAAACAAAAACAAAAATAACATAATTAAAGAGCAGCAGTAAAATAACAGTAGCGAGGCTATATACAGGGGTTACCGGTACAGAGTCAATGTGCGGGGGCTAGTAAAGTGATTATGCATAGGTAATAAACAGAGTAGCAGCAGCGTAAAAAGAGGGGTTGGGGGTCAATGCAAATAGTATGGGTAGCCATTTGATTAGCTGTTTAGGAGTTATATGGCTTGGGGGTAGAAGCTGTTAAGAAGCCTTTTGGACCTAGATTTGGCGCTCTGCCGTGCGGTAGCAGAGAGAACAGTCCATGACTAGGGTGGCTGGAGTCTTTGGCAATTTTTAGGGACTTCCTCTGACACCGCCTGGTATAGAGGTCCTGGATGGCAGGAAGCTTGGCCCCAGTGATGTACTGGGCCGTACGCACTACCCTCTGTAGTGCCTTGTGGTCGGAGGCCGAGCAGTTGCCATACAAGGCGGTGATGCAACCAGTCAGGATGGTCTCGATGGTGCAGCTGTATAACTTTTGAGGATCTGAGGACCCATGCCAAATCTTTTCAGTCTCCTGAGGGGGAATAGGCTTTGTTCGTGCCCTCTTCACGACTGTCTTGGTGTGTTTGGACCATGATAGTTTGTTGGTGATGTGGACACCAAGGAACTTGAAGCTCTCAACCTGCTCGACTACAGCCCCATCAATGAGAATGGGGGCGTGCTCGTTCCTCCTTTTCCTGAAGTCCACAATCATCTCCTTTGTTTTGGTCACGTTGAGGGAGAGGTTGTTATCCTGGCACCACACAGCCAGGTCTCGGACCTCCTCCCTATAGGCTGTCTCATCGTTGTCGGTGACCAGGCCTACCACTGTTGTGTCGTCAGCAAACTTAATGATGGTGTTGGAGTCGTTCTTGGCCATGCAGTCATGGGTGAACAGGGAGTGCAGGAGGGGACTGAGCACGCACCCCTGAGGGGCCCCCGTGTTGAGGATCGGTGTGGCAGATGTGTTGTTACCTACCCTTACCACCTGGGGGCGGCCCTTCAGGAAGTCCAGCATCCAGTTGCAGAGGGAGGTGTTTAGTCCCAGGGTCCTTAGCTTAGTGATGAGCTTTGAGGGCACTATGGTGTTGAACGCTGAGCTGTAGTCAATGAAGAGCATTCTCACGTAGGTGTTCCTTTTGTCCAGGTGGGAAAGGGAAGTGTGGAGTGCAATAGAGATTGTTTCATCTATGGATCTGTTGGGGCGGTATGCAAATTGGAGTGGGTCTAGGGTTTCTGGGATAATTGTGTTGATGTGAGCCATTACCAGCCTTTCAAAGCACTTCATGGCTACAGACGTGAGTGCTACGGGTCGGTAGTCATTTAGGCAGGTTAACTTGAAACATGTTGGTATTAAAGACTCAGTCAGGGACAGGTTGAAAATGTCAGTGAAGACACTTGCCAGTTGGTCAGCGCATGCTTGGAGTACACGTCCTGGTAATCCGTCTGGCCCTGCGGCCTTGTGAATATTGACCTGTTTAAAGGTCTTACTCACATCGGCTACGGAGAGCGTGATCACACAGTCATCCAGAACAGCTGATGCTCTCATGCATGCTTCAGTGTTGCTTGCCTCGAAGCGATCATAGAAGTAATTTAGCTCGTCTGGTATGCTCGTGTCACTGGGTCGCGGCTGTGCTTCCCTTTGTAGTCCGTAATAGTTTGCAAGCCCTGCCACATCCGACGAGTGTCGGAGCCGGTGTAGTACGATTCAATCTTAGTCCTGTATTGACGCTTTGCCTGTTTCATGGTTCGTCAGAGGCCATAGCGGGATTTCTTATAAGCATCCGGGTTAGAGTCCCGCTCCTTGAAAGCGGCAGCTCTACCCTTTAGCTCAGTGCAGAGGTTGCCTGTAATCCATGGCTTCTGGTTGGGGTATGTACACACGGTCACTGTGGGGACGACGTCATCAATGCACTTATTGATGAAGCCAGTGACTGATGTGGTGTACTCCTCAATGCCATCGGAAGAATTCTGGAACATATTCCAGTCTGTGCTAGCCAAACAGTCCTGTAGCTTAGCATCTGCGTCATCTGACCACTTCTGTATTGAGCGAGTCACTTGTACTTCCTACTTTAGCTTTTGCTTGTAAGCAGGAATCAGGAGGATAGAATTATGGTCAGATTTGCCAAATGGAGGGCGTGGGAGAGCTTTGTACGCGTCTCTGTGTGTGGAGTAAAGGTGGTCTAGAGTGATTTTTCCTCTGGTTGCACATTAGAAATGAGGTAAAACGGATTGAAGTGTGCCTGCATTAAAGTCCCAGGCCACTAGGAGCGCCGCTTCTGGATTATCATTTTCTTGTTTGCTTATGGCCTTACACAGCTCGTTGAGTGCGGTCTTAGTGCCAGCATCGGTTTGTGCAGCAGTTTGTGGTGGTAAATAGACAGCTACGAAAAATATAGATGAAAACTCTCTTGGTAAATAGTGTGGTCTACAGCTTATCATGAGATACTCTACCTCAGGTGAGCAAAACCTCGAGACTTCCTTAATATTAGATTTCGTGCACCAGCTGTTATTTACAAATATACACAGAATGCCACCCCTTGTCTTACCGGAGGCAGCTGTTCTATCTTGCTGATGCACTGAAAACCCCGCCAGCTGTATGTTATCCATGTCGTCGTTCAGCCACAACTCAGTGAAACATAAGATATTACAGTTTTTTATGTCCCGCTGGTAGGATATTCTTGAACGGAGCTCATCCATTTTATTATCCAATGATTGTACATTGGCTAATAGGACTGATGGTAGAGGCAGATTACCCACTCGCCGTCAGATCCTTATAACCTAAGTCCCCGATATCTCCATCTGTTCTTCATGTGAATGATGGGGTTTGGGCCTTGTCGGGTATCTGAAGTAAATCCAACTCGTTAAAGAAAAAATATTCGTCCAGTACGAGGTGAGTAATCACTGTCCTGATATCCAGAAGCCCTTTTCGGTCATAAGAGACGGTAGCAGAAACATTATGTACAAAATAAGTTAAAATAACGCGAAAAAACACACACAATAGCACAATTGGTTAAGAGCCCGTAAAACGGCAGCCATCTCCTCCGGCGCCATTATATTCATTCTCATGTCTCCCAGTGATTTCACCTAGTAGCTCACATTTAGGCTAGCCTATTCCCTTGCCCAAGCCTTGACCAGTGGTTTGTTTTGGTAGTTGGCTAGAAGGCTGGCTACAGTGAAAAGCTGATTAATACTGCCAGCGACTGACAGTGGGATAAGAGTGTCAAACAGTTTATGCTCTTTGATTCGTCTGTTGATCCTCTCTACGTGGATCCTCAATCGTGCTATCTCCTGAGTGACCCTCACTTCATCACTGGGAATTTGTGACTTTTTACTCAGAAATGGTGGCCTGTAAACTTTGCATGTCACTAAGTCATCAATAATCTCTTATCCACCATGACTGCCATGTCTTTGTCCAGGAGATCTATAATGCCAGATGTCTTGAATAATTATTTGTCACTAACGGAACCGGAATACATGGAAGAAACAAAAAGTAACAGCCCCATTCGGTCAGTGGAGGCTTCTCAGAGGAGGAAGAGGAGGACCATCCTCCTCAGTGAATTTCAAGTTATCCTTTTTAGATAAAACTAAATAAGTTCAGGAGTAAAAATTTGCTTAATAAATCACATAATAAGTTGCATGGACTCCCTATGTGTGCAATAATAGTGTTTAACATTATTTTTTTAATGACTACCTCATCTCCGTACCCCACACATAAGGTCCCTCAGTCGAGCAGTGAATTTCAAACACAGATTCTACCACAAAGACCAGGGAGGGTTTCCAATGCCTCGCAAAGAAGGGCACCTATTGGTAGATGGGTAAAAAATAAAATAAAGCAGACATTGAATATCCCTTTGAGCATGATGAAGTTAATTACACTTTGGATGGTGTATCAAAACACCCAGTCACTACAAAGATACAGGCGTCCTTCCTAACTCAGTTGCAGGAGAGGAAGGAAACCGCTCAGGGATTTCACCATGAGGCCAATGGTGACTTTAAAACAGTTACAGAGTTTAATGGCTGTGATAGGAGAAAACTGAGGATGGATCAACAACATTGTAGTTACTCCACAATACTAACCTAAATGACAGAGTGAAAAGAAGGAAGCCTGTACACAATAAAAAATATTCCAAAACATGCATCCTGTTTGCAATAAGGCACTAAAGTGAAAATGTATGCACTCACTAACTGTAAGTTGCTCTGGATAAGGGCGTCTGCTAAATGACTAAAATGTAAAATGTAAAGTAAAACTGCAATAAAATGTGTGTTTGGATTTTTCGTTATTTAGCCCTCCGAAAAGGCTCACCAGGAAGCACACAATGTCATGACTCGTGTTTTGTCCTTAATTTTATTTTAAATTAAATGACCACAGGTCATAAACCTGAAATACAACAAACAAATAATGACAATATATTATTCAAATATATAATGTAAATATATTATTCAAATACTATAATATAATAATAATGTAAATAATGAAAATCAAATAAGCCTGCAACACCATCAAAAATGTGGCAAATCTGGCTTAAAACAACATTGACTACATCACCCAGAATGCCTAGCGCCAGAGAAGCATGCGCACAGTGACTCTGCCTTCACTGGTAGCTATGGACGCTGTCACAGAACCCATGCCACCACATGCCTCGTCCAAAGGATTTACACACGCACAAACGCAACATAACGCGGCACTCCACCATGGATCACCGAACCAAACCACCGCTATCACCACCGCCACCAGAAACCAGCAGAGTGCTCCGAACAATCAGCACAACGCAAATGGCTGATAATGATAGCCTAATGCTATACAGCATCTGGGTCGCTGAGCTACCGCACCCAGCGAGCTACAAGTTACTCTCGGCCAACTAACACCGACACAGTGAGGTAAACGTTCAGTGCTCAAACATATAAGTGACTTAAACATTAATGCTAGACTGTGAGTAGTTCGCAGTTACATACCAACGGGCTGTGTGCTCCTGATGAGACCCATTTGCTTCTCTTTTATATATATATATATATATATATATATATATATATATTGTTATTAATTTTTTTCCTGAGTGAGCTAGAAGTCTCAACACCTCCCACTTGGCCGACTTATCGAAGATCCAAGGAGGGCACCGTCTCGAGTCTCTCAGTGAGAATTTCAAACTAAAGTCCAGTCTTTGTAGCCATTTATAAACAAACATGTATTAACTAAGGAGGTAGGCTCCACCACCTTTCCTCCTACTGAGTGTAGGTTTGCCCTTGAAGCACTCAGTTGCCTCCCAGGGTTACCCGCTAGCTAAGCAAAGAACACAGAGTCACAGTCTTTGGGTACCCATGGTGAGGACTTAACTTACCTCCTCTTGGTCTTCAGCAGGAATCAAGATCACCAACCTCCGCACATCCCTGCGAATGACGATTGTCGTGTGAATGGTAGAGTCCTTTCTCCGGGCCCTGGGAACCATGGGAGCAGGAAGACCCATGCAGGTTGTTATGTCCGCATCCCGGACAACCCCCTTCTCATCTGGATAGGTTGTAGCAACCCGGCCGAGCCGGAACTGCCCCCTTAGAGCATTCTGGTCCGCAATACAGACTACGTCTCCAACCTTGATACTTCTCTCTGCTCTGTGCCACTTGTGTCGTATGAACAAGTTTGGTCCTGCCAGTTCACTCCATTTCTTCCAGAACCTGTCGACTCCAGCCTGGACAGCCCTCAGTCTGCGCCAAGAGCGGGTTTCCATGTCGATTCCGTGTATGTCTCCTCCCTGTCCGGTGCGCCCCAGGATAAGGGAGTTGGGGGTCAAGTACTCCACTGAGTCCTCTTGTTCCTGTGCCCTGGCGTCGATGGGTCGCTCATTAGTCAAGTTGGCTGCAGAGTAGAGAAGGGTCTGGAACTCCCCCCAGGTGTAGCAGCCAGTTGTTCCGCCAAGACTGATAAGAGCTCTTTTAAAGGAGCTTGACAGCTGCCTCTGCTGCTCCATTCCTGTGTGGCGAGTCAGCAGGATGAAAGTCCCATTGCCACTCTGTGCTATTTCTGGCAGCCTTGTCTTCAACGGATGCCTTCTGCAAACAGGCCAGGTGCTTGTGTAGCTCTCTCAGAGCAGGGCTGGCGCCCAAGAAGTTTGTGCCTCTGTCTGACCATAGCTTTTTGGGATGCCCCCTCAGAGCAGTGAACCGGGAGTAGGCCTGAAGAAAGCTCTCAGAAGACTGGTCGTCGACGAGATCAGCATGGACGGCTCTGGAAGTCATGCAGCAATACACGACTCCCCAGACCTTTTTCTTGGTTCTTTTCTTAACAGCGTCCCTCACTTCAAAGGGTCCAAAGAGGTCTAGTGTAGTATACTCTAATGGGTTCGCTCTACTGGTACGTTCCTGAGGAAGAGCGCTCATCACTTGCTGGCACAGCCGGGCTCTTTGCTTCTTGCAAGTGATGCACCTGTTGATCACCTTCTTCACTGTCCTCCGACCTTGCACAACCCTTTCTTTTAGTGTGCAGCAGTGTGGCAGCCACCCCTTCATGATTCGCTTCGTGAGCTTCCCTCGCAAGCAAGGCCCCCAGCCACGAACGGAACGGGATTAAAAAAAGGTACAGCGGTTCCGTCTTCATTCCAAGACTGGACTCTACCACCACAAAGTAAGAGTCCATTGTTGTCATCTTTAATCACAACAGGGCAGTTTAAGGTCGTATGCTGAAAGTTCACGCCGTCTTGGGCCGCAAGGGCTAGGTCTTGGAAAGCTGCCGTTCTCTCTCCCACAGACAGCCTGGGGCCCCTCACCTCCCACAGCTTGTTCTCAGCCAGGATTCTGCAGCTCTTCGAACCCAGGCGATTGTTCCACACAATTTAGACAAGCTACTGAATCGTTCGGGCCCAACAAGGCGCACTAGAGCTACACCCCAGGGCTTCCTCTTTGGCCTCTCTACTGCTGGAGTTGGACCTTGGTATTTCATCTGTGGTCGCGGTGCGGAGTCTTGCAAGTCTGCCCCAACATCAGTATTGTTGGGGCCTGAGAATTTTTCTGCCTGAGACCTGGTGACTACAGCTGAGAACGCTCTTCTCTGCAACCTTTTAACGTCATCAGCCACGCTGGTCACTATCTCACTGGCTGTCTTCACAGGCCACTCAGCCTCAGGCCAACTCAGGAACTCTGGGCCTTGTTGCCACTCTGACCCTTCATCGAGTTCCTCAGGAGTTGCTCCCCTTGTGATGATGTCTGCTATGTTCAGGTTGCCCTCAATCCACCTCCAGTCTTCCACTGGTCCAGCCTTCTGGATCTCTCCGATGCGGTTAGCGAAGAAAGTTTGGTAGCCATAGCTATCCTTGTGAATTGCTCCCAGGATTGTTTGACTATCCACAAAGTGGACCCAGCGTGCGACCTTGATGCGGCAGTGGTATTTTCTCAGGCGGATCGAAAAGACAGCACCACATACCTCTGCCTTAATCACGTCTCCTTTCTGGTTGAGATGGGTAAGCTTTGCTTTGACTCAACCAGCCTCACTACGACCCCATTCTGCGTCTCCCAACGGAGATAGAGCACCACGCCGTAGGAAGCCTCACTCCCATCTGAAAACGTGACTCCCATTGGATGGCCTATGGCTCCAGTTGGTGTGAGGCTTCTTTCGAACCTGATCTGGGCAAGTCTCACATATTCTTTGAGGAGTCTTATGGAAGCCTCCCGTAGTTTTGGTGAGAGTGGGTCATCCCAAGTGTCCTTAACTGGACTGCTTATACTCGCTTCTTGGTAAGCTTCTCTCACAAGCATCACCCCTTTCTGCTTTGCGGGTGTGGCAAGACCAACGGGGTCGTAGAATCCAGCGATCTGGCTTAGCAGCATCCGACGGGTCAATGGGTTTGGAGTTTTACCTCTGACTTCCTCTTCGCGCAAATCGACTCCTGTCCTCATCTTTCCTCTCTTCTTTGAGAAATGTATGGAGGTTATCACATGAAGTGTCAGTCTCTGGTTCATAGCCGACTCCAAGTGTTTTGCTTTCTTCGTCCCGCATCTGGTTGGGTAACACCAGCATTTTGGGCACACTCACAGTTGTCTTACTGATACTGGCATCAGTTGTGGTTGCGGACCTCCCACTTTGGCCTGATAAGACCCATGGCTTAAGGGAGAAGCCTCTAGCCTTTAAGATCTTTTCCACTCCTTTGGTGATTTTCTCCAGTATCCGCAAGTCATTGTGGGACGTCAAGATGTCATCCACATAACTATCTTCTACCACAACTTTGCGCTCCTCAACCATGGCTGCAAACTGGGGCAGGTTGGCTGTTTCTCTTATTACCACCTGGGCGATACAACCAGCAGGTTTATCGCCAATGTTGACCCTGACGACAGCAAAGACGTCGATCACCTCCTCAGGATTGTCTCTCCAGATGAATCGATGGAGGTGTACTTCTTTGTCTTCTAGCCAGACGGAGTTGTAAAAAAATTTCACATCGCCCAGGGCGGCGTACAACCCAGTCCTGAATCTCAGAAGCACGCCCCTTATCTGATTTAGGACGTCAGGACCCTTGTACAGTAGGTCATTTAAACTTATTCCCATTAATTCTTGGCTACTGTTCCAGACAATTCTTACAGGGGTAGTGGTTGAGTGATGATTAGGAGCAACTAAATGACTGATATACCACTTAGGTCCCTTCCAGCTCTCGATTTCCTCTTGGGTGACTTTAACGGCAGCCCCTCTTGAGACCATATCGTGGATTTGCTCTCTGTACGCAGCCTTCCATTCCGGCTCCCTCTCCAGTCGTTTCTCAGTGTTTAAAAAGGTTGCTTCCACTGCACGTCGATTGTCAGGCAGCGTTGCAGGGTCTCCTTTCCATGGGTAAGCTGCGTCCCAGTGAGGGGATTCGCTGTGCTTGTCAGCTTGCACGTAGGTGAGACATTCCTTTATTTTCTCCAAGTCTCTTTCCTCTCCTAGGGTCATTTCCTTGCCTCCAGGGGGGCACCTACCGCATCTGCAGCCACCACACTAAGGATCACAGGTGGCGCCAATACTGTCCCACTTGAACCATTCAAAAACATATTTGTTGGTAGTTGCAGTGTTTCGGAGGATTGCGTCTTCTTCTTCCACCGAAACTCCACTGGGTCCTTCCGGCTTCACGAGAATCTCTTTGTACGCCCTTGAAGCTGTTCTCATTGACCTAGCGAAATGTGTTTCAGACCTGTGCACTGCTAGGTCTATCACTTCAAAGAGGTCAGGATGCGTTCCACCAACAGTCTTCCCAAGGGGGCCATCCCAGAGGACGAGGTCTCCAACTACTCTGACTGGCTGTGGGACCAGGCGACCCTCCCTGTGGCTAATCAACAGGTCGATCTTTTCGGGCCGGACCAAGTCCTTGAGTGGAACATTTGGAAAGAACTTCTGCAGTTGCTGTGGCGTGACAGCTTGGTTCACCTTCGCAACATCTTCCAAGCCGTAACAAAGGAGTTTGTGCTCTGCTATTGTACCTTTGGGAGTTTTTACTCTCAGCCTCAGGGTATACTTCTTGGTAGTAATGGTTTTCTCCATCCCTCCAACACCTTGGACAATCAACTTAATGTTCTCACCATTTAGCTTGAGACGCTCTGCTGCTTTATTAGAGATATAATTAGTATCTGAAGCGAGATCAATCAACATACCGACTAGCTGGCCAGAGTTTGTCGTCACATCCAACAGCATCATTATGACAGGGTACTCTTTTGGCTCACAACCAGTGCTAGCACACACTTTTGTCGTGATCTTATTTGAAAAGGCTTCTTTGAACTCTGCTCGCAGCTCTGGAGAAAGTTTGGCAAGGAGCTCCTCCTGTTTGTTGGTTAGTCCAAGTCCCCTTTTCCCCAATTTTGCATCGCTCTGCTCTCCGCTCTTTTCCTCTTTCTTCTTGATCTGTGGCTTTGGACAGAGCAAGTAATTGTGGACTGAAGAGCCCTCTTTCTGACAGTCATCCTTTGAGCATAGATATTTTTGTGTGCAGCCGCCATCGTCACCATGAAGGCGCAAGCACTTAAAGCATGCTCCTGCTCTCCTAAGCTGAGCCTTCTTGCCTGTCAGATTGAGCTTCTTGAAGACCTTGCAGGCGAACAGCCTACCTCCGTGCTCGTTGTCTCCACATGTGATGCATGAGCTTGGTTGAGAGCCCTTTAGGGTGTTTCCTGATGTGGCTCTGGTGAATGCCCTCCTTTCTTTTTTCTTTTCGCTTGACCTCTCAGTATTGTCCGCCGGGCTAGGCTGTAGCTGGTCTAGCTCCTCGAGAATGTCCTCCTGCTTTTTCAAGTATTGCAGTAGACAGTCGAAGTGGTTGCGTGGTGAAAACCCGCTTCCAGGGTCATTTTTGTGTGTTAGTCATTTTTGTATGTTAACCACTTTTCTTTCAGGGAGTCAGGAAGCTTACTTTCAATCGACTGCACAACCACTCGGTTCTTTACAGCATCTTCCTCCCCTAAGACTTGTAGGTCACAAAGAGCTCTCTCCACAGCTTGAATCAGTTCGATTGTCTTCCTCGGATGGTTTCCTTGCACTTCTTGTGCAATCAGCAGCACTATTTTCGGCTTATTTCCGTACTTGTTGTCCAGGAGCCTGAACACGTCGTTGGCGGATCCACAGCTGGACAATACGAGGTCCCTCTTGACTTTTTTTTATCTAGGCTTCCCAAGAGATGGAATTTCCTCACATTTTCCAATCCATGAGGGTTTCCCAGACGTTGCAAGTCCTCCCATTCAGCATTCCAGCGGTAGTAATCCCTCATATTACCAGCAAACATGGGCAAGCATGCACATTCTAGGCTGATCTGGGGCCTGTAGTTGTAAGTCCCAACTGGCTCCTCCTGCTCCACAATTTTCACTTTTCCCAGTTTCTCTTTGTCGTCGGATTGAGAACCGCCTTTCCATGCCCACTCATCCCACAGTTTTTCACGCCTTTTCTTCAACTTCCGGATCTGGTCCTTTGACTCTGTTGCCTTGGACCGAGGGATCAAATATTTCCACTCATCCAATCCTCGTTCGAAGTTGTAGACCTCCCGTTCCAGGTTCCTATGAATCAATTCACATTCCCTCCTGGTCATATGGTGGTGATCGGTTGCCTCAGCCTGGTCCATGGCTGATCCAGCTTCTTCAGTGAGGGTGGTAATTTCCGCCTCAGCGAACCTTGTCCAGAAGCTGCGCATGCGCACATAACGTAACATATCTGAGCATCTAAGAAACTTAAAGAAATCACTCGTTCCCCATTTAATTGAACACATCAGACCCATTTGCTTCTCTTTTATCTATATATATATATATATAAAAAAATCCTGAGTGAGCTAGAAGTCTCAACAATGTGGCAAAGAAATTAACTTTATGTCCTGAATACAAATCTTTATGTTTGGGGCAAACCCAACACAACACATTTACATTTTAGTCATTTAGCAGACGCTCTTATCCAGAGTACATACAGTTAGTGAGTGCATACATAAAAAATTGTCATACTGGCCCCCCGTGGGAATCGAACCCACAACCCTGGCGTTGCAAGCGTCATGCTCTACCAACTGAGCTACACGGGACTATACATTTGGGGGACACAATGGAATGGTCAGTTAGCAGGGTGAGATTTAAGACACACATGCCATCTATCTAGCTACATGTATACATCCAGGTCTACATTAACTAAATACATCTAGGGGTGGTTTCCCCAACACAGATTATGACCAATGCTGGACTAAAAACCATTTTGAATTCCTGCATCTCTACAGCGCACCCGCCATTTGATGAATGGAAAGACAGCAAAAGGTGTAATGAATTATATCCAGTGATGGTCATTCATTAGGGCTACAGCAGACTGGTAACCTGAATTGATATGTCCACTGCTGTCCGACCGCCTCGGTCTCGGCCACTCATCTCTGCCTTTTTCCAAAATGTCACTTATTGCATTTTGGAGTGTATTCCATACGTTTTTCCATGTCCATTCGCAAATATATTTTTTCTTCATTTGACTTTCATGTGGTATTGATAGTGTAATAGCCAAAAGTTTCCTTGCCGTCTTTGTTGTTCATCATTGTAATAGGCTCATGTTTAACCAGTACGGTGTACCTCCACAGGATAGCTACTAATTATTTTGCCGGTACTCCATACCGGACGTACCGCCTTACTTTCACCTCTGGTGGTCTCCATACATGGTAGTCTACTTAGCTACATGGTAGTCTACATAGCTACATGGTAGTCTACATAGCTAGATAGTAGTCAGGCTAAACAGTGCAAAACAGTCTAGGGACTGTCCCAACAGTGAGGGATAGGAGCCAAGGAGAGGAGACCATTAAGGAGTGTTGGGACCCAGCCCAGAATGTGTAGTGTGTTTGATTGACAGGTCAGGAGGATGGGGTCAGGACTCCTCAGCGATGATGCGTGCTCGACACATCTCCCGGAGCTTGGTGATGGTTGCCATGAAGAGGCTTCCGGGTTCCGTGAAGATTTTCTGCATGAAGAAAATGAGTTCCACTCTTCATATTTTCAAGCATGGTGGTGGCTGTATCATGTTATGGGTATGCTTGTCATCGGCAAGGACTAGGGAGTTTAAATATAAAAAGCAACGGAATAGAGCTAAACACAGGCAAAATCCTAGAGAAAAACTTGGTTCAGTCTGCTTTCCAACATACACTGGGAGACAAATTCACCTTTCAGCAGGATAATAACCTAAAGCACAAGGCCAAATCTACACTGGAGTTGCTTACCAAGACGGAATTGAATGTTCCTGAGTGGCCTAATTACAGTTTGACCAGTCTAGCAATGATCAACAACCAACTTGAGCTTGAAGATTTAAAAAAAAGAATAATTAGCAAATATTGTACAATCCAGGTGTGCAAAGCTCTTAGAGACTTACCCAGAAAGACTCACAGCTGTAATCAATGCCAAAGGTGATTCTAACATGTATTGACTCAGGTGTGTGAATACGTATGTAAATTAGATATTTCTGTATTTCATTTTCAATACATTTGCAAAAAAAATCTAAAAACATGTCATAATGGGGTATTGTGTGTAGATGGGTGAAACGTTTTGAATTCAGGCTGTAATACAACTAAATGTGGAATAAGTCAAGGGGTAATGAAGACTTTCTGAAGGCACTGTACGTTGTAAACTTTTAATTCATAGGCTAGGTTTTAGCAACCTCATGATGGGTATAAGGAAAATTAGAGTATCATGTAGTAGCATAAATCTATCAATGTTACATTGAGCTGGGTGAATGGAATATAAATGACAGTCATCCAATGTGCTGTAATAGAAAAAAATGTCGTCCTCCCTAATCTTAAATGGCACCAACCGCCACTGCATTGGATGACATACCTAGCATTCCTTTCATGGTAGTGTGGGATTTGTACTGAGAAAACATCTCAGTCTGAAGCAGTAATGAGGATGGTGTCTGGCATTTAATTTCTGTACAGTCAATGATTACTTGGGTGTCTGAGTACTTGCCAAAACACTTGGCATGCTGGCTCTCACTGCCTCAGGAGACATCCAAATTCCAATGGAGCCCAACCAGGTGTACAGAAAATGTATCCAGGTGTTGATGATGCAGCTGACTGTTGACTGACAAAAATTGAAACAATGCCATATGTCCTTCTCCTTCAGACCAAGTGCCAGGTACATCAAGAAGAGAAAGAACTCTTCCATCATTTGAAGGCACCGGCTCTGTAACAGATAAGTTACTTATTATGCATTCAGTGCATCACAATTGGCCGTTAATAGTGTCCTTCTTTAATCAGCATCCTCATCATTAACTGCAACTTAGACTGATCATAAATGTAATTTACCGGTACAGGATAGTAATACAATGTATTTACAAATGATACCATCAGACGAATATAAGAATTGGAGCCATCAAATATATTACAGTTCGACGAGGTGACCTTGAGGGTGGAACCTCGGTGAGCAGGTCAGGAGTTTTGGTTGCTGTACTCGATGCTGTCTCTCCATGACAGTGCACGCATAATTCTCTTTGCTGCAGGTTGTATCAGATTCCAAAAGGCCATCAAGTGGAGGTAACTGGTGAATCTAAAGGAGTTCAGGAGACTCACTGTTATTGTCAGTAATGTATTAGATTAGATTGCATTGTCCTGCAAGGAGGAAAATCATTTCCACATGCTCATACATAGACATACAAACAAACCCATACACCCAGTCATAACATTTATAATACCAGACTTCCCTACACCCAAGACAGCAGATAAAATGGACAGAAGACTAAAACTGTTGATAGACTGGCAACAGAGTGAGATATTAGACACTGGAGCAATGATGAGCAATGAGCAATGAGCAACATGGACATGAATAATAGATTTAATATGAAGAATACATCAACTTAAAACTCAATTTCCCCATTTATTTACTCATCTCCTATAGCTTTTTTTTTTGCCTGTTGACTGCAACATATGTACTGAAATGTATCAGCTAACAAACAAGCAACAAAGAGGTGTTGCCTCTGCCCTGGGCATCCACTCAACCTAGTGCCTGTCAAGTCAATGCAGCCATAAGGAAACTATTTACTTCACAATTCTAAGATAGGAAGTGTAAAATGGTATTCATCCAGCTAGCTAAACATACAAAAAAACTATCTAAAAAGCTAGTGAATTAACCTGTTTGTACCATTGACTTTGTAAGCGATTAGCATGCGCCCCATCATGGATATTTGTCTGTTAAACATGCCAAACTGAACACAGTATGTACAGATGAAGTCGGAAGTTTACATACACCTTAGCCAAATACATTTAAACTCAGTTTTTCACAATTCCTGACATTTAATCCTAGTAATAATGCCCTGTTTTAGGTCAGTTAGGATCACCACTTTATTTTAAGAATGTGAAATGTCAGAATAATACATTTACATCATTTAGCAGACGCTCTTATCCAGAGTGACTTACAAATTGGTGCATTCACCTTATGATAGCCAGTGGGACAACCACTTTACTATATATATATATATTATTTTTTTGGGGGGGTGGGGTAAGGGGGGGTAGAAGGATTACTTTATCCTATCCCAGGTATTCCATAAAGAGGTGGGGTTTCAAGTGTCTCCGGAAGGTGGTGAGTGACTCCGCTGTCCTGGCGTCGTGAGGGAGCTTGTTCCACCATTGGGGTGCCAGAGCAGCGAACAGTTTTGACTGGGCTGAGCGGGAACTGTGCTTCCGCAGAGGTAGGGGGGCCAGCAGGCCAGAGCTGGATGAACGCAATGCCCTCGTTTGGGTGTAGGGACTAATCAGAGCCTGAAGGTACCGAGGTGCCGTTCCCCTCACAGCTCCGTAGGCAAGCACCATGGTCTTGTAGCAGATGCAAGCTTCAACTGGAAGCCAGTGGAGTGTGCGGAGGAGCGGGGTGACGTGAGAGAACTTGGGAAGGTTGAACACCAGACGGGCTGCGGCATTCTGGATGAGTTGTAGGGGTTTAATGGCACAGGCAGGGAGCCCAGCCAACAGCAAGTTGCAGTAATCCAGACGGGAGTTGACAAGTGCCTGGATTAGGACCTGTGCCGCTTCCTGTGTAAGGCAGGGTCGTACTCTCAGAATGTTGTAGAGCATGAACCTACAGGATCGGGTCACCGCCTTGATGTTAGCGAAGAACGACAGGGTGTTGTCCAGGGTCATGCCAAGGCTCTTTGCACTCTGGGAGGAGGACACAACGGAGTTGTCAACCGTGATGGCGAAATCATGGAACGGGCAGTCCTTCCCCGGGAGGAAGAGCAGCTCTGTCTTGCCGAGGTTCAGCTTGAGGTGGTGATCATCCACACTGATATGTCTGCCAAACATGCAGAGATGCGATTCGCCACCTGGTTATCAGAAGGGGGAAAGGAGAAGATTAATTGTGTGTCGTCTGCGTAGCAATGATGGAAGAGGCCATGTGAGGATATGACAGAGCCAAGTGACTTGGTGTTTAGCGAGAATAGGAGAGGGCCTAGAACTGAGCCCTGGGGGACACCGGTGGTGAGAGCACGTGGTGCGGAGACAGATTCTCGCCACACCACCTGGTAGGAGCGACCTGTCAGGTAGGACGCAATCCAAGAGTGAGCCGCGCCGGAGATGCCCAACTCGGAGAGGGTGGAGAAGAGGATCTGATGGTTCACAATATCAAAAGGCAGCAGATAGGTCTAGAAGGACGAGAGCAGAGGAGAGAGAGTTAGCTTCAGCAGTGCGGAGAGCCTCCGTGACACAGAGAAGAGCAGTCTCAGTTGAATGACCAGTCTTGAAACCTGACTGGTTTGGATCAAGAAGGTCATTCTGAGAGAGATAGCAAGAGAGTTGGCTAAAGACGGCACTCTCAAGAGTTTTGGAGAGAAAAGAAAGAAGGGATATTGGTCTGTAGTTGTTGACATCGGCGGGATCAAGTGTAGGTTTTTTGAGAAGGGGTGCAACTCTCGCTCTCTTGAAGACGGAAGGGACATAGCCAGCGGTCAAGGATGAGTTGATGAGCGAGGTGAGGTAAGGTAGAAGGTCTCCGGAAATGGTCTGGAGAAGAGAGGAGGGGATAGGGTCAAGCGGGCAGGTTGTTGGGCGGCCGGCCGTCACAAGTCGCAAGATTTCATCTGGAGAGAGAGGGGAGAAAGAAGTCAAAGCATAGGGTAGGGCAGTGTGAGCAGGACCAGCGGTGTCATTTGACTTAACAAACGAGGATCAGATGTCGTCAATCTTCTTTTCAAAATGGGGGGGGGGGGGGATTCAGCAGGGAGGAGAAGGTGGCAAAGAGCTTTCTAGGGTTAGAATTTAGAGTGGTATAAAGTGGCTTTAGCAGCAGAAACAGAGGAAGAAAATGTAGAGAGGAGGGAGTGAAAAGATGCCAGGTCCGCAGGGAGTCTAGTTTTCCTCCATTTCCGCTCGGCTGCCCGGAGCCCTGTTCTGTGAGCTCGCAATGAGTCGTCAAGCCACGGAGCAGGAGGGGAGGACCGAGCCGGCCGGGAGGATAGGGGACATAGAGAGTCAAAGGATGCAGAAAGGGAGGAGAGGAGGGTTGAGGAGGCAGAATCAGGAGATTGTAGAGAGAAGGAATGAGCAGAGGGAAGAGATGATAGGATGGAAGAGGAGAGAGTAGTGGGAGAGAGAGAGCGAAGGTTGCGACGGCGCATTACCATCTGAGTAGGGGCAGAGTGAGTAGTGTTGGAGGAGAGCGAGAGAGAAAAGGATACAAAGTAGTGGTCGGAGACTTGGAGGGGAGTTGCAGTGAGATTAGTAGAAGAACAGCATCTAGTAAAGATGAGGTCAAGCGTATTGCCTGCCTTGTGAGTAGGGGGGGACGGTGAGAGGGTGAGGTCAAAAGAGGAGAGGACTGGAAAGAAGGAGGCAGAGAGAAATGAGTCAAAGGTAGACGTAGGGAGGTTGAAGTCACCCAGAACTGTGAGGGGTGAGCCATCCTCAGGAAAGGAACTTATCAAGTCGTCAAGCTCATTGATGAACTCTCCAAGGGAACCTGGAGGGTGATAAATGACAAGGATGTTAAGCTTGAATGGACTAGTGACTGTGACAGCATGGAATTCAAATGAGGAGATAGACAGATGGGTCAGGGGGAAAAGAGAGAATGTCCACTTGGGAGAGATGAGGATTCCTGTGCCACCACCCCGCTGACCAGATGCTCTCGGGGTATGCGAGAACACATGGTCAGACGAGGAGAGAGCAGTAGGAGTAGCAGTGTTTTCTGTGGTAATCCATGTTTCCGTCAGCGCCAAGAAGTCGAGGGACTGGAGGGTAGCATAGGCTGAGATGAACTCTGCCTTGTTGGCCACAGAACGGCAGTTCCAGAGGCTGCCGGCGACCTGGAACTCCACGTGGGTCGTGCGTGCAGGGACCACCAGGTTAGAGTGGCAGCAGCCACGCGGTGTGATGTGTTTGTATAGCCTGTGCTACAGAAAATGGCTACAATAATGCAAAGGAGATCGGAATGAAATGAACTAAACATCTGGGAAAGCGAGAGAGCGGGGCCTCCCTCACTTACGTTTCACTGAAACACTCAAATATAACGCTCCCAACTTCCACTTTAGAAATTATAATTGTTGTAAACTACAGCGGTTCAATGTTTTCTAGGAATAGACTAACTTAGTTTATTCAGCTAGCTAACTTGGTACAGTATTCTTCCGTGAAAACCCTCCAGGGCACCGAATCCTATGACGCCATAGCCAACTAGCATGCCAGCCTCCAATAACACGGTTTAGCACCAATACTTGGTTACAACAAACCACCAGTGTGTTAACACGCCAAGCAGATCATTCGTGTCCGTGTCTAACGTTGTGTAAAGTTTTGGGTTAGTTTTGACAGTTTGAGTGAGTCCGTCGTCAATAGTAGAGAGAATGATTTATTTTCTAATTTTATTTATTTCATCACATTCCCAGTGGGTCAGATGTTTACATACACTCAATTAGTATTTGGTAGCATTGCCTTTTAATTGTTTAACTTGGGTCAAACTTTTCAGGTAGCCTTCCACAAGCTTCCCACAATAAGTTGAGTGAATTTTGGCCCATTCCTCCTGACAGAGCTGGTGTAACTGAGTCAGGTTTGTAGGCCTCCTTGCTCGCACAGGCTTTTTCAGTTCTGCCCACACATTTTCTATAGGATTGAGGTCAGGGCTTTGTGATGGCCACTCCAATACCTTGACTTTGTTATCCTTATGCCATTTTGCCACAACTTTGGAAGTATGCTTGGGGTCATTGTCCATTTGGAAGACCCGTTTGCGACCAAGCTTTAACTTCCTGACTGATCTCTTGAGATGTTGCTTCAATATATCCACAATTTTCCTTCCTCGTGATGCCATCTATTTTGTGAAGTGCACCAGTCCCTCCTGCAGCAAAGCACCCCCACAGCATGATGCTGCCACCCCCGTTCTTCACGGTTGGGATGGTGTTCTTCGGCTTGCAAGCAGCCCCCTTTTTCCTCCAAACATAACGATGGTCATTATGGCCAAACCGTTCTATTTTTGTTTAATCAGATCAGAGTAAGATCTTTGTCCCCATGTGCAGTTGCAAACCATAGTCTGGCTTTTTTATGGCGGTTTTGGAGCAGTGGCTTCTTCCTTACTGAGCGGCCTTTCAGGTTATGTCGATATAGGACTCGTTTTACTATGGATATAGATACTTTTGTACCTGTTTCCTCCAGCATCTTCACAAGGTCCTTTGCTGTTGTTCTGGGATTGATTTGCACTTTTCGCACCAAAGTACGTTCATCCCTAGGAGACAGAACGTGTCTCCTTCCTGAGCGGTATGACGGCTGCGTGGTCCCATGGTTTTAATACTTGCGTACTGTACAGATGAACATGGTACCTTCAGGCGTTTGGAAATTGCTCCCAAGGATGAACCAGTCTTGTGGAGGTCTACAATTTTTTTTCGGAGGTTTTGGCTGATTTCTTTTGATTTTCCTATTTTCTCAAGCAAAGAGGCACTGAGTTCGAAGGTAGGCCTTGAAATACATTCACAGGTACACCTCCAATTGACTCAAATGATGTCAATTAGCCTATCAGAAGCTTCTAAAGCCATGACATCATTTTCTGGAATTTTCCAAGCTGTTTAAAGGCAGTCAACTTAGTGTATGTAAACTTCTGACCCACTGGAATTGTGATACAGTGAATTATAAGTGAAATAATCTGTCTGTACTTGTGTCATGCACAAAGTAGATGTCCTAACCGACTTGCCAAAACGATAGTTTGTTAACAAGAAATTTGTGGAGTGGTTGAAAAATGAGTTTGAATGACTCCAACCTAAGTGTATGTAAACTTCTGTCTTCAACTGTATGTATTAATGTATCATGATCATATATAGTAGTACACACTCATCAATGCAAAGAAATAAAGAAATAAACAAGGGTTAGCCTTGGTACAGACATACCTGGTATAAAAGCAGATATCATCATCCTACCCCGCATACAGCTCCCAGCCAAAGGACTGCCATAGAGTAATCTATTGTTGCTTGTGTTGTAGCTCTTCTATCTCTTGATTATTTTCCTTTATGATTTCATGTGCAGTATCCAACTCACTTGGCTCTGGCCTAACACAGTGGTCGTGGTCGTGACATTCAAGCACTACTCCAACCTCCACCTCCTCTACGACTGGTGGTGATTCTGGCCGTTGAGTTCGTTCTCCCACACCTGGTCTTGCTGCCAGCAGAGAGTAGTAATTCCAGGAAAACAACGCTGGTACAGCCCCCTGCTTCAGCCTTCTCTTGCCACCATCAATTATATCTGTGTCAATTAAATGTCTGCTACAGACAGTTGTGCTCCTCTTGATATTTAAATGTTCTTGCCTAATATTACTTATTTAAATTTTCCTGATATGATCATTGTTTGGAAAGTGGTGGAAGCTAACCATGGAGTACAATTTTCATGACATGGTGCACTCAGGAACCATTTGAATGGTCTTGAAAAATACATTTTCCATTTCCAAGTACGGTCTTATAAATAACCCCACAAAAAGGCTTTTAAAAGCAAACTTACGGGTACTAGCTAGCTAGAAGTTTCTTGCTAGGAGATTTGTAAAGCGAGCCTCTTGTCTTCCATCTGTTTTCTGTAAACAAGTGCTGTAACATGGAGATATGGCCGTGTGGGAACACTAACCCTAACCCTATCAAGGTGTGTATCAATTTAACCTTTAGGTTTAAAAAATAAATAATAGCTGATATGAAAGATAAGGTCCTTATGCTTCCAATACCGTACCGCAAACCATGCATGTTAAGATGGCGTATTGAATAGAAAGCGGTACAAAACACCTCAAGATAAAAACATAATATTCAAAATCAGTAAGTTAGACTAAATATTAGTATTTCATATATTCGCAGTTAATATAATTCAATCTGGATAATAACACAAAACAAATCATAAGGCTAGAGAAATATATCGACAAATATTACAACAACACGCAACACCCAAACATGACTGAAGATAAGCGTGGAGAGCCGATCCCCAAAAGGAAACGCGACTCATCGACTGATACAGATGATATATGCTTTTCACCACTGGGTATGGTAAGTGTGGAAAGCGACCTGTTGAAGTCGATAAATGACAAATTGGGCATACTAGAATTGGTCAGTAAAGACGTAAAAGAGTTGAAAGCGAGTCTTCAAATGAGTGACGAAAAAGCTTTGGTAATGGAGAAAGAAACCAAAAAATTAAAAGTGACAGTCTCTAAAATGGAAACGGACGTTAGGGAACTAAAAAAGGAGAACAACCTTCTGAGAGAAGCCTTACTAGACATCCAAACTAGATCGATGAGGGAAAATCTAGTACTTACGGGTATTCAGGAAAAGGACGGAGAAATAACAGAGAATATTATGAAGGACTTCCTGCATACAGCGCTACAAATCCCACTCGAGGCTGTCGATAAAATCCAACTCGAACGTGTACACTGTTTCGGAAAAAGAGGACAGAAATATGAGCGCCCAATCCTTGCCAAATTTGCTTTTTTAAAAGATAAAGCTATGGTGAAAAGACTAGGAAAAAGACTTGCTGGCACGAAAATAGGCATGAATGATCAGTTCCCGGGGGAGATTGTAGAAAGGCGCAAAGTTCTGTATCCAATCTTCAAGGAAAACAGATTAAAAGGGAAACGTGTTGCACTCGTGGTGGATAAACTATATATTGACAACCAAATGTTCAGAGACACAAAGACTACTCCATGGCTATTCTAAAAGTTGTAATAGAGGAGTCGAATATTGGAGCACCTGATACTAGCAATGATAGGGATTGTAATATTAAATAACATTTATAGTAAGTATAGTATTTTATAAAAGGATAAAACGACATAACAAGCAGAATAATATATCTTTAAATACAAATAATTAGAACATGGCTTTTTTGGCGGGAGGTTGTTGTTTTGGCGGATGGTTGTTGTGGTTGGTCCTGTGTTCTCTCTGGCGTCCTTTCCCCCTTGCGGCAGATGTGAATGCGGGTGCGTTTGCACGCTCTGCCCATTTCTTCCGCAGTCAACCATGTGGTGTGCATTTTTGTGTTTGAAAAGGTGCGGCGTTAAGTGAGTGAGAGGGGAAATGGTTGCATATCCCAGAGCCGACCGGGGGTATATGAGCAGGGGTAGTGAGAGAGAGATTTCAATTTTGTGTAGATGAGGGATATACATTTTTAAATATAGTATACATCTAATCTAATTTTTCATTGTCCTATCATGATGGAAAGATCCCTAACCCTATAACCTGGACACCCACCTGAGTGACCCATACACAAAGAGAAGTTCCCATCTCTTTTATGGACCTGCTGTGAGTATGCAGCCTAAACAGAGAAATAAATGCGGTCAGAGACCTACTTGAGCAGCATCGCCCCCTCAAGATTCTGAGCCTGCCTGGCAGGGTTGGTCCTACAATGCCAGAGCCCGCTGATGGGAGAGCATAATATACAAGGAAATTCTCAAAGCTGCTAATGAGAACCTTGACGACCTTTTACCTAGCCGGTGGGGATTCCTGTGGGGTACGCCCACCCAGGTAGTGGCAGTGCTGGCAACACTGGCTGCAGTAACCCATGGGGAGGGGGGTCACACTCTGACAATCAGAGAGGGGGTTTATCATTGTGGCCCAGGTGGCACAAAATAATCAAAGGTCTGACCGCACGGAGATGCTTGGGAAAATGGTTACAACAGGGGATCAGAGGGTTTGTGTCTCAGGTGAAGAGGGTGGATCTGATATCCATCACCTAGGACTTGACATAGATTAAGTAGATTAATCAAATCTCACATTGTTATCAATTTCTGCTCAATCTTGCATGCTTTCTCAATCAGCTTTAACTGTATGTGCACTCGTAAATCAGGTTATTTCTCGAGTTGGGCTCTGGGATAACAGCCGTTGAGTATCTGATTTTATGGTGGATTGTGGAGGAGGGGGGTTGAGTGTGTTGGAGTATGTTAGTATGTGCGTGTGTGCTTGTCTGGCATCTGTTGTGGGGGGGTGGGGATGTTGGGGGGGTATGGGATGGACCACGGGAATTATTTGCTAGGATAATAATTGCTTGTCAATGAATTAAATGTAATACAATGGCAATCCGGGTTATATGTTAGAATCCTACGCGTGAACTGCCGACATTATTGCGCATATTCATTGATAATGATGGAAAATAGGATATGCATAATTTTTTTTAAATAGTTATATAGATATATAGAGGTGAAAGCATTGGAAATGCTTTTGGCGGTTAATCTGCTTCTGTTTTGTGGGTGGCACTGTGTGCTGTTTTCGATGGATGGGTCCTGGCCTCTCGGGGCCTTAGGGATCTGGAGGGACGTGGGTGGGATGCTGATCACTGGGATGACGGCTCAACTTGGGATGGGGAGGGGCTTTAGCGGGGGAATTAGTGGAGAACAATTGAAGGGTTACTCCGTAGCAATGCAAATATCACGTTACAGCTATATGGACACTCAATCATTACGGTATTTTTTATTGGTGAATTTACAAACATATATAATGATAAATAGACTTGAAACTTGTATCTCATTATGGTGTATGGTGAAATAAGTATAGCCAGTTATAATTGTAATGGCTTAGCTGATAATAACAAAAGAAGAACAATATTTACATGGCTCAAAGAGAAGGAATATAATATCTACTGTATACAGGAAACTCATTCAACAATTCGAGATGAAGTAGCGTGGAAAAAAGAATGGGGGGGGGGGGGGGGGGGGGGGGATATACTTCTCCCATGGGCAAAGAAATTCAAAAGGGGTGATGATATTAATTAATAGTAATTTCGATCCGAATGTGCAAATTGTCAAAATAGATACGCAAGGTAGATGGATTATTTTAAATATGTTATTGGACCATAAACAGATATGGCTCATTAACCTTTACGGACCAAATAATGATGATCCACAATTCTTTGACAATATATAATAAATTATCAACCCTGCAAGCAATTCAAGACAATATTATTATGGTGGGGGATTATAATACTGTTTTAAATAGCTCAATGGACCGTAAAGGAAATCACAACACAAACAATCACCCACATGCTCTTAAGGAAATTGTGAATGTCATGGATACATTAGAAACTAGTAGATATATGGAGGCTTTTTTTTTTTTTTTTGGTTTTTTTTTTTTTGGGGGGGGGGGGGGAAAAAAATTTTTAAAAAAAACCAAAAAAGGGGGTAAAAAATTTTTTTTTCCCTTTTTTTAAAAAAAAAAATTTAAAATTTTTTTAAAAAAATTTTTTTAAAAAAATTTTTTAAAAAAAAAAAAGCCCCCCAAAAAAAAAAGGGGAAAAAAAAAAACAAAAAAAAAAAAAAAAAAAAAATTTTTTTTTGGGGGATTAAATTTTTTTAAAATAAACCCAAAATTTAAAAAAAAAAAACAAAACCCTTTTTTTAAAAAAAGGAATTTAAAAAAAAAAACCAAAAAGGGGGGCCCCCAAAAAAAAAAAAAAAAATTTTTTGTTTTTTTTTTCATTTTCCCCCCCCCCCTTAAAAAAATTTTTTTTTTTTGGCCCAAAAAAAAAAAAACCCCTTTAAAAATTTGGGGGGTTTTTTTTTTAAAAAATTTTTTTTTAAAAAGGGGAAAAAAATTTAAATTTTTTAACCCAAAAAAAATTTTTAAAAAACCCCCTTGGATGTTTAACCCTTTTGGTTTTTTAAAAAAAAAAATTTTAAAAAAAAAAAACAAAAGGGGAAAAAAAAAGAAAAAAAAAAAGGGGGGAAATTTTAAAAAATTTTTAAAAAAAAAAAAATTTTTAAAAAAAAAATTAAAAAGGAAAAAAAAAATTTTTCCAAAAAAAAATTTTAAAAAAAAAACCCCCCTTTAAAAAAAGGGGGGGGCCCAAAATTTTTTTAAAAAACCCAAAAAGGGGAAAAAAATTTTTTAAAAAAAAAAAAAAATTTTTAAAAATTTTTTTTTTTTTTTCCCTTTTAAAAAATTTTTTTTTTTTTCCCTTTTTTTAAAAAAAAAAAAAACCCCAAAAAAAAAAAGGG